TTAATCTCAAACCTAACCCTAACTCTAATCCTAACGCTACCTTTAGAATCAATCTTTAACATTGTGTTACCGATTTACTACTTTTGTGTTATGTATAACGAATAAGCACGTAATACATTATCTTTATACATGTGCAGTTAATCAAAATGTGTGCAACGGTAAATTAAAAACCTGCAAAGTATCATCGCCGAGTCAGCAGTGTTCCAAATCAAGAAATGTATTCAATAAATAAATTTCGCGAGAAAATATGGCTTCCATACGCGAGGAACAAAACATTTATTTATTTATCCAAAAACATCAGATAAATAGAGACATTAAATAAATAGAGCTGCTTCTGAACAAAAAAATTTTTAATTGAAAATATGAATACTCTATTGAATATCAACATAAAACACACAAAATTACATGTGCTATTATTAAGCGTAATATTATGTTCTTTTTTGTTAGTGTTGACGGACGCTAGACAACCTTGGGCATCACATACATTTAGACCAGGTCAAAAAAAGTCTTATAGAAAAAAATCTTTAAACTGTAAGTCTATAACAAACTTAAAATTATCTATTACTCAATTAAAAATAACATGTTTTTGATAAAAAAAAAAGCAAGAGATGAAAATTCTGCCGTCGTATCAAGTAAATTATGTGATCCAAATGTAAAACAGGTATTGTGTTAATTATTAGATCTAGTCAACAAAAAACAAGCTAATTTAATCAATTGATTGTATAGTATTCAGGATATCTCGATAAATCAGGCGACGAAAATATATTCTTTTGGTTTTTCGAATCGCGCAAAGATCAAGATTCAGTTCCAATAACAATATGGCTCAATGGAGGCCCAGGTTGTTCGTCAATGATCGGTCTTTTCCAGGAATTAGGTCCATGTCGATCAATTAATAATGGAACATCGGTAGAACCAAATTCGCATAGTTGGAATGAAGTCTCTCATTTATTGTTTATCGATCAGGTATGGAAAAATTGTTTTTTGTTTTTTTTCTTGAATGAACCCTTACTTCAGTTATTTATTCTTTAAATTATTTAAACACGTGTTAGCCATTTGGTGTTGGATTCTCTTATGGTGACACCACGAAAATTAATTCAACAGAGCATGCTTCTTCAAACTTATACACGTTTTTGCAACGCTTCTTTGATCGTTTTCCTGAATATGCGAACCTTGATTTGCATCTCTTTGGTGAATCTTTTGGCGGACGTTATGGTAAGCGCATATCAACCTACAATTATTAGAATTGGAAAGTAAATATCTGATTGTGCATATTTTGTGTAGTTCCAACTATAGCAAGAATCATATACAATAAAAACAAAGAAATAATCGCCGGTAAAAACGATGATACTATTATAAACTTAAAATCAATAGGAATTGGAAATGGATGGATTCACCCAATAATACAATAGTAAGTTTGATTACATGCAGTTCATTGATTGTATGACCTGACGTTCTAAAAGCTAAAAATTGTATACATGTAGTCCCGCATATGCCAATTTCGCTTGTGATATGGATCGTAAGTTTTTATTATTTTTGTGTTGAATTTTATCTGAAGTATTGATCAATATTATTTTTTATAGTCGTCAATAAAGACAATTGTCAAAAAATGAAAGATGCAGTCCCAGAATGCAAAAATCAATGCAAGTTTCTTTTCTTCTTTTTCTTTGATTATTACACGGATCAACAACCACAATAAACATTTATAAACAAAATTTAGTAAGAAAATGCGTTGAAACACGAAAACCAGCTGACTGTAGTGCAGCTGATAACTTTTGCTTGCATCACATCTACGATGTATTCTATAACACCTCTGGTCTAAATAACTACGATATGCGCGTTTCGAATCTCACTTTATACCCACCATCAGATTATCAAGGTTACTTGAATCAGTCTCATGTCATCAAACAAATTGGCGCAAGAAAATCATATGAAGAATGTTCAAATTCAGTTTTTGATAGCTTTGCTATCAATGGAGAAAAGTAAGTATGCTTGATTATAAAGATATCTCAAATAGAATGAATATCTAATTTCTTCTTATAGCGCATTAAGTTCCGCCGAGGATATAGAGTATTTGTTGAATAATAAAATACGCGTTTTACTATATTACGGGGATCAAGATTTCGATTGC